AAACTTTTATTCTTGAGACAAGCATGTGCATATTCTCCCCAAAGTCCAGAAGACAGAAGTAACAACTTAAGCAAAACACCTTTAAGCAGTATAACTATATCTGAAGCAGTTTGGCTGGGATACTTTTTAAAACATTTTTTGTGGTAACATGTCTTCTGGAAAACATAAGCCTGATGTGTATTCACTTTTGCAGAATCTTACTGTCTTACCCGTACAAATTGCAATTCTTTGCTCAGGTGCTCAGCTCATGACATTCCTTACGAGTGACAGTGGGCAAACTAGTTAAACTATTCTCAGTTGTTCCAGAACTGCAACACACACACACACATTTAAGTGTAGAGTTAAAGAGAAAGATTTAAGGGTAAACAAAGTGATGGTACTCCAGACCCAAAAGCAGTTGGACAAGACATCAGCTACAAATAGGTGCAGAAAGGCTACTGGTCCTTAGTATGGTGACACAAGTGCACACATTCATAAAAAGTTTTATCATATAACCAGGATTATAAGAGTAAAATCATGCCCACTTGACAGTAACAAGAATTTTTAACTCTTAATATTCTTAACCAAGATGTTTCTTAAGTCCTGCTTCTTCCTCAAACCTTAAAACATTTCAGTAATTCCCACATGTTCCGATTTACTTGCCTTTTAGGAGGACAGAGAAAAGCGTATGGACATTGGATTTTTGCAAAGAGAGACAGGAAAATTTGGAATTGAAATGCAATATGCAATTCCATTGCATCCCTTTTAAATGATTACACAAAATGAGCATTTTAAACAGGCAAACAGAGCTTGGACTTTGCAAATAAATTATACAGTTGCTATATTAATAATTATTGCTAGTGATAGGTAAATATATATAAAAAAAAAGAAGTTATCCTGCACTAGATGTGGTGGTCAGACTGATGCAGCCACATGCAGCAGACGTGTGCACATGCATGTTTGTATCTGTAAAAAGACAGATATCAAGGAGAATCTGTGCCTTCCTGTATGGACTCTACTGCCAGAACAACAGGCAAAGCAGCTTCATAATGAGACAGAAACTGCATCCCATCAGATTAAATTAGATGAGGCTCTATGCAATAAGACTTTGATATTCCCTGCAATGGTTCACACTGGTGTATACGGACCATAAAGAATGAAGTACCTCAGTCACATGGAAACTGCTCTCCTGAACACGAACCAGTCTAAGGAGCTAAATGCAAATCACTGTTTGGTAACATCGCCATCTCCTAAATTTGTGACACTGGACTGTTCCTGAAGTAGCTGGAGAACAGTGTTTATGCTCTTGTCAAATGTGCTGTAAGCTTCTGAATGAAGGAAAGGATGAAGCATCTTACAGGCCATGTTAACACAGCTAAACCCATCAAATTTCTCAGCCCCAAACCCCTGAATACTCAGTTTTAGGAATACTTGGCTACACCTGTACATATGGGAGTTCAGACCTGTCACTTTAAGCTCTGTCAAGATAACAAAATCCTAGCTCTGTTTACTATGCAGGTTTTTCTCTTTCCACCCATATGAAAAAGTAGCATCAGGAATGTGATGGGTGCTTGTTTCAATAATTAAGATAACACCTTAGTTTCTTTAGGGTCAAGTCCTACACGAGGTTATAGCAACACCTTGTCACTAGAAAATAGTACATATGAAGGATTAACTTCATATGGTAACTCTTCTGCAAATACCCAAAGCTCAGCCACCTATTTCTTCTAGCGCAAGGGAGAGCCACTTCTGAGTCCTCCCCCACAAGGTGAAGAAAAGTTCCATACATTCAAAGATACTCAAACAAAAGCTTCATAACCCTCAGGACATCACAGTGGGGTCCCAAGGCTCACTATGTGGTTTGTAAGCACACATTCACAAAAAGACTTCAATGACATTAGATGCCAAAAGGCTCCTGATGATGGTGTAGCTGAAATTGCTGAGGAACACGCCTTGCTCAATCAAGTAAACAGGAGATAGGGAAGAGCCACCCATGCCCAGCGCTGAGCAGAATGCAAAATTTGCACTGACGAAAATAAGCAAGACAGCAGCAGGATACACTTCGTACACCCTGATGCCAGCAGAGTTTTCAGAAAGGACTTTCAGCTGCCTGAAGGGGTACCCTCAATGCCAGCTAACCAGTACTCCCAAGCATACAAGGATATCCACTCAAAACAAGGTAAAGGGAGTTGGGTTGCCCAGAGGCTTTTGCCAAAAGAAGGAACTTAATAACAAATAGCTTATAAGTAAATGTACATAAAGCCTCCCAATTTCTTCATTAATGCTTCTTGTAAGACTTTATTTCCCTGAAACCTCTTACTCACACAGATATTTTTCCCCCCTCCCTGGAAGTGTTCAAGGCCAGGTTGGATGAGGCTTTGAGCAACCTGGTCTAGTAGAAGGTGTCCCTGCTGATGGCAGGGGGAGTTGGAACTAGATGATCTTTAAGGTCCCTTCCAACCCATGCCATTCTATGATTCTATTTTTATTTTATTTTTTAGATCCCTTATAAGGTCTCCTACATCCCCCTCTGTGGTTGTCTTTAGCCTTTCAACTTGTTTCCATTTCTTTTTCAAAATATAGCCATCCCTTTTCTTTTGCTCTTTCTACTTCTACATGCCCCAATACCCTATTTAATCAGTATCTTAAAGATTGTCCTACTAGAGATAAAATAAAATTAAAGTAAAGGAGTAAAACTCAAATTACAGAAATTAACTTCATGCACAAACAAGATTTAAAAGCCTTTGTCCAATAAATTTAAAAAAAAAATTAAAAATGGAAGCTTTGTTTTCTGGAACACTGTATCCATTAAGAGGGAAAGTCATACTTTCCCTTGTTTTCCTCTCTCCAGAGAAGGACAGGTACTCCAAGTAATCCAAGGGGCTTTCTTGCCTGAAGCCCACAGAACCACCTGCTCTTTTCCAGATAAGGTCACACGTAGGTAAGAAAAGCTGAGATAGCTTCAGTTGTTCATACATTTGTTTCAGAAGCCCTTGGTTTCAGGTTCAGGGGCTGTCTTAGTACCACCCCCAACCTCCATAAAAGCCATCAGAGTTTATCCTCTGAATCTGTGAGTTTATATCTTCTTTTTACGTGTTAGCTTGTCAAACACCTAGACCATCTGGAACAAGAGCTTATTCAGAGAACTGAGCAAACAGCACGAACAAGAGCAAGAGATAGTTCAGACAGTGTGGCCCTTCCAGCTGCAAAATTCCCACACTGACACAATGACACTTGTGTCTTGATGCCTTTTTCCAGATGTTGCCACAGCCCTATTCACAGAAATCTGGAAACTGCCACTGATCCTAGCAGGCCAAAAGATGTGCATCTGAAGTGGAGAAAGGTGCACTAGCAACAGAGGGACAGATATTAATAAGATTGAAATCCCCAAATTCAACACTGTTGAGGTGCTTATTTAAAGCAAAAGCAAGAAAGAACCATGCCAAAAGGAAAAAGCAGGAAAGAATTTAAAGTAGACCAAGTGAGGAACGGAACTGTAGGCTTACAGTGTGAATCTCAAGAATAGCAAAATAGTTTGCAAATCTGGGGTAAAAACAAAGACAAAGCTACACTTTTCATACCACTAAAGTAAAGATATATACTGTTAACAAATCACTTCTAGTTTCTCTTAAAAAAGAAGAAATAAATTGAGGCAATCCATTACCCCAGATGGCACTTTATACAACAAAAAGTAGAAACCTGTATTTTTTTCCCTCCATTTAGTCTGCCACTCTAATCAAAGTGCAGAGGGAATGTGGGAGGAGAGAGAATTTGTCACAGAGGCACTGCTATTAGCAGTAAAATAACCAAGTATAAACATTATTTCCTTTGTAGTTTTCATTGGAGAACTTTTTTTCTGATAAAGCCATTATTATACTCAATACAGTTTATTATACATTCGTAACACCCAAGTTGTTCATTCCCACAAACAATGCTCCAAGTGTGGAATTTTTCCTGTTCCTTGCAGTGACATTTTCTTGGCCTCTTCCTCTGGGAAAAATATTTAGGCAACAACTTCCCTTTAGTGCAATATATATAGAACCACTTGAGTTATTTGATAAAGTTCAGTGGGTGTGCTGCATTTTCACTTTTCCAGTTCATGAAGAGTCTCAGACTCAACTCTCTAGATATTACTGTTGAGCAAAGAGGGCACAGTCAGCCACATCAGAGTTTGTAAAGCTCTGTCATCCACTTGTTAGAGTTCATTTTGAAAATTCATCTTCCCTTGAGTTGCTAACAACCACCATTAGAAACAGGGAAGAGAGATGAAAAATCACCTTCTCTGTGTAATGAACTTGTCTTTTTTTGACTAGCAGAGCACAGTCTCTTTCCAGAAAGACTATGGAGCTTTCTGATACAACAAGTTATCTTCTGTTCCATAGCAAAAGACCTCATTTATGCTTACGAATCAGCACTGGATTTGAATAAGATTCTATTGAACTTTTTCATGTATTTCTTAGACAGCAATATGGCAAGTAAATCACAGCTTTCTGGAGATTAATCTATGTAATTAAATCCTATATATTTAGCAATACTCCATTCCAACTGGGCTTGTACATTTATGAAACTACCACATTCAAAGAAAGATTTTAGCTTTAGATTTTTTTTTTTAACTTCCGTATCAACAGGAATACAACTGCAGACTAACATTACTAATTGCAAATTCCATCAATTTTTTAATTACATTTTATGTGAGATTTATTTCTGTAAGAATTCAAGATCTCTGGAGAATAGGATCTAACTTTTCTAAGAAACACAATTTTCTGTTTTGATTGAGCATTTCACTGAATGACCAATGAATGCCTTTTCCCAACCGCAGCCACATAAAATATTTCCAATGTGCAAAGCAGGAAGACAGACAACATTGAGAAAACTGTCAGAACAGTTCAGCTACTGAAACACTGTTCCCAGATCTTTGAGGTAATTTGTCAAAAAAACTGAAAATATTAGTTTTGAACAGCAGCATTGTACAGATTATCATCACCATTCATTAACCATCCAAAACCAGGTATTTCCCTTACCCCAAATGGTGGATATGAAGCAGCAGCAGCAGCAGAGGCAACACTCACTGCGGGAGGTGGTATTCCTGAAGAAGAAGGTGGGAACAGACCCAAGGCATTCAGATTTAATCCAGGAATTAAATGTGCTTGAAGCTGCAATGGCAGAAGAGTTATTTAAGATTTACAATCCTGGTTATTAACTTTAATCAAAATCCTAGTTGGCATAGGCTATTAACCTTTTCAGAAGATGTCAGTATGTTATTTTAAAAAAATTATGATCTCCATTACCCTGAGGACTCTGCTTCAAACCTATTTGCCAGACATATGAACAGCTCAATAACATTAAAAACATGTTAAAGGAAAGGCAGCTGGGAATCACTTGTTACAACTTAATCAGTGAAACATATGACAAACTTTACAGCAAAAAGTTTGGGCAACAGTATAATTTACTTTTGGAGTAAACAGTTATCGGAGAAATAATATAATATTTTTTGCTTTACATTAAAAAGATAGCCCTGTAGAATCAGGGAAAGCCCATGCACAAGCCCTGACTTTTCATACACTAGGGGTATATGCCACACTATAATCCCATATCCTTTCCCTCCCATGACTTCCAAAAGATGAAGATACCCACAGCATTTTCTGGGAAAGTACCAACTATGAAGCTGCATGTCCCTTGGCCACACCTGAGAAAACTGACAGCACCATGTGGTAGGAAGCATTTGTTGTCCAAGAGACAAAACTTGTCAGTACTCTTTTTCACTTTTCCAGATTATTGCCCAGTAATATAACTATGCTTTAGAAATACCTCAGATAAGAGACAGACACCATCTCAAGCCATCAAGAGACACCAAAAAAACCCAAAAAGCTTCACCAACTAAAAACCTACCCCAATAATCACTACAAACTAAGCTTGAAATCCATCCAGTAGCAGAGGCAGTTTTCTGCCTACAACACCTTTACCGAACAGCAGAGTAGCCTCAAGCTCACCTCATGTTCCTGCTCGCTATATGAAGCAAAAATGTGCCACCTTAAAACACTTTACTGTGTCCTCACGTGCAGTTTGTGTCCTGCAATTTGCTTACAGTATGGAAAGGAGGGGAAAAGCTGGGAGAATATTTTCTCCACCCAGCAGGGAAAACCATTTCTAGCAGCCATTTCTAGAAAATCAGAGACTACTGTAAACTGAAAAAATATTTTCAGTCTGGTTCTAGACCATAAAGTTTAGATACACACAAAAAATCCTCTTCATAGCTTATAAAGCATCTCAATAATTTCTCAATATGCATTACTAATACTTTGGCAAACTAATGAGGTGTGTTTTTATTATATAATCACCAATCATCTCTGAATAACTAAACACCTTTATCATCTATATCAAGAAAAACCTTAATAAAGCCTTCGTAAATTAAATAAGTGAAAGCAGGAGAGCTCCTTCTTCCATATATTGTTATGCTTTTAACAGGAAGAAACTGGGAATCACTACTTTAAGAAACATATACAAATTAGAGCACATAAACCACAATAGTACATAAACACTCATTCCTTTAGGTTTTTGCAACAACAAAATGTGAAATGTTAATTTCCTCAATCTAAATCAATTTCTCAGTTCCCCTCTCAAAATAAACCAGAAAAAGTCTTCATTAAAATAACATACATACATAAATAAATAATTAAAAAACCTTGGCCAAGCCCCACAAATTAATACAAGAAGCAACAGAGAGAGGTTGCAACAGGGAAATTCTGATCAGCTGTTGGGAAAGGAGTTTTCACCATGAGAGCCTCAAGACAGGGCACAGGCTACCCAGAGAGACTGTGGAGCTTCTACTCATGGAGATGTTCAAAAGGGAACAAGTCCCTACACAACCTCATTTAACTTTGAAGTGGGTCCTATATTAAGCAACCCCACTGCTGGGTCAGGTCACCTCCAGAGGTCCCTCACACCTAAATCTTCCCACAGTTCTAGTTCCAGAAAGAGCCCACACAACTAGACAACTCACATTCATAGCAGCAATATCATTTTCATAGGACTCCCTGATTTTCTTCATAATCTCTTCCTCAGCCTTGGCACAAGTTTCAATACTGCCTTTAACTGTAATGGTTCTTTCGGGATTATAGAGTGTTAAATCCTGCAATCTGCAGATGAAACAGAAGAACAGTTAATTAGCAAACAGTGGACGGTAATCCAGATTTATCATTCAAGTGCAATGACATCCAAGCATGTTGAGCTTGCCCTCCAGAAAGCGTAGTATCAATTCACGATAGGGCTCAAACACAGTTCTTCGAGAATCTGGAGAAACTCTATCCTCGCAAACGCAACAAAAGCCACTGCATGGAGGTGTGCCATCATGTGTTTCAGATGTGCTTTAGGTGCAACACAAGATGGAAACCATCATGCTCTGTAGGAACGTGAGCTGCAGAGCAGTGCAGCATGGTTCAGCTTTGCACTCCACACCAGCCCTACCAACAGAAAGAGAGCTTAGGATATTTTACACATTCCAGAAACAGACCGTAAGAAAGTTTCCTTGAGAACAATAAGTGGATTCCTTAAGGAAGGAGGGGGAAAAGGCCCAATCCTCAGTGAAACTGCAGGAGGTCCTTCAAGTCTTCATAACAGGAAGACCAAAATCTATGTGCAAGTCAACATGTGCTGCGAAACACCAGTAACTCTTCAGGGAAAATGAAAGGGTTACAGCATTAAACCAGTGTTTTGTTAGATAACAAATGCTGACCTACTATGGTAAAAGGGAAAAAAACAACTGGGAAGCCATGGCATACGCATGTACTGAGAAAAGGTGAGATGAAAAAAAAGTCACAGCAGGATGCAGGAGGGGTGAGCAAGTCCATGGTAGGAAGGAGAGAGGAAGAAGCATGTAAGGTTGCTTTCTTGCACAGTGGGCAGCATAGCAACCTGCACATCTCTGTTAAGCAGTGGCAAGCACAAAATGCATCCACAACACAATCCTTAGGTTTCCCATGTGCAAGCACTGAGTTACTGCCTCAGGAAGGGAAGTGGTGGAAGACAGCCCAAGGAAGAGAGAAAACACTTTCCCAAACCAGCTGCCTTACTTTAACTTTATAGACAAGCTTACCAAAAAGCCTAAATGAAGAGATCAGGAAAAAGACTAATTAGAAAAAGTAGGATCTATGGGCATATATGCCCTCTTTTATGTATCAGTTAAACCAGGTGACTTCCTGGGGCCATTTGAGGCATAGCATGACAAGTATGATCTTGAGGCTAAGATTTTAACACAAAGAAACCATTAGCTTGCTCAATTAAAAAAAACCTCTGCAAGTGTTTACAGACCATGTGTTATTTGTGTCATCATCAATAAAGACAAGTTGGTTTCACAGAATGAAGGCCATTATCCCATTTATCTTGTACATTTTTTTTCCCCCTTTAAGATATAGCGTTAATAGTCTGTGTACTACGTGCAAACAACATATTTGTGCCAACACATATAAGAGTATGCTGGCCTTGCAAAACCTATTCTTGAAACAGACTTATTTGCGTGTTTTTTTCTCCAATTGATTCACTTCTCTTCCTCAGACTAATTCGATAAACATTTACATACCTTTAGGAATGTCTCAGGTTCTTTCACCCAATTTTGAATTTCCTCTTTTTGACAAGCCTCAATCACTCTTAGCTTCCCTGCCTTCATTTGAGCTATTTTCTGCAGTACATTTTTTTTGTCTCTTGCATGTATTCACACCTCTTCATACATTGTTATGTGTCTTCCAAACTTTTTCCCTTTCCTACAGCATATAAGATTAATTCTGACTCTTTCTGGCAGAAGCGTAAGTCCAAAATGCCCTCCAATTCTTGGAAGTTCATGCCAGAGTATTCGTTATTCAGAACAGGAGGTTCTCTGAAGATATTGCTCCAGGCTAAAACTACTATTAACAGCCAAGCTTCTACAGAGATGTTGATCTAATCAGTGATTTGCAGATTCCCAGTGAAGGTGAAAACTCCTGTTTAATCTCAGCTAAATTTGAACAGGTCTCAGTTACCTTCATAAACTCACAGACCAAAAGCTATTACTTTGAAGCAGACTAGTCAATGTATCACAGTTTGGCTGCTCATGGCCAAGAGGGACAGTATTGCTACTAAAAATACTCTTCGGCATTCATTTGCTTTATTTCCTTCTCTCTTGTGCAAAAATCTAATCTGTAGCAGAAACTAAAATATCACTAGTTTTACTCATTTTCACACATAGCTCAGAACTGATCCAGGCTTATAGTTTAGAACACTTATTATTACGTATGGTCTAATATGTTAAAAACAACCAGCACTTAAAATATATTTGAACACAGGCTACACATAGCCTATGTTATTTTTAAACTTGCTCTTGACTAAGTTTACAATGAAGACTCACTGTTTACATTAAATTTAAATGAGCTTAAGTAACTGTTTAATCCACATTATGGAAAGGCCTCCAAAAGGCTGTTATCTCAGCCTTCAAAAGACACACAGTATTTTTCTAAGAACTCTGTACCTGAACATACTGCAGCGGCATTGCTGCTATTTGAGACATCTCACCAAAAGATTAGGCCACCGAAAACTTACGGAGATATTGTGATTTTAGTATCTGTGTCCTGTTCAATTTTCTTCAGGTTTCTTCCTTCTTTGCCAATAAGTCGGCCAACAAAGTTGTTATGTGCCAGGATCTTCAAGGGAATTTCTTCTGTACTGTAACGGAGATTACACCCAGTGAGAGTTTTAGAGTCCAGAGTACAAGTTTTCATGCATCATATGGATAAATTTTTTTTCATAGAAGTGTCTACAGCTCCCATTCACTTACGCATGTTTATACTAGATGCAGAATGAGTCCAACTGCAATGCACATAGCTTCATTGTAACATGCCTGCTAAATAAAACTCAGACTGAAGTAGCAAGAGCTGTTGGGAAGGAAGAAATACCTTAAAGCTTTTAGTGAGAGCTCACAACTTGTTATGCTCACTCTGATTAAAAGCTATTAGTTGCTCAAGAAACTTCAGTATTTGCTCCAGTTCACCTCAAAATCATAGCCAGACAGTGGCTGAAAACGTAGATATGTGCTGGGGCTAATTGAGCAAGTAGATTGTCCTGAAAGAAAAAAGTCTTAGTTCCTTTACCTACTTAAATATGGACAATAGCAAAGATTCACTTCTTAACAATTTTTAAAGACTACTACAATGGAGTCAACAAGAATTCAGAATTTTTAATACCTCCATAATGAAATGCCTTTTACTCACAATTTAGTATCTTGAGCTTCCTTTTGCATGATCTCCATAATAATTTTACAAGCCGTTGAGCAGCCTTCAGGAGTTGAGTGGATAGTAATTGGTTTCTCAGCAGCACCTGCGTTCTCTTTACGATGAATATCAATTCTTGAAAGAAAGAAAAACATTAACTGTACCATGTACTATATGGTAAACCTCGCATATTTCCAACTGTCATAAAACTGATTTATTTTGAGCTAACACTGACTACATTTAAGTGGTTTAATTCTGCATAATATACGACTACTTAAACGTCTCCCGAATACGATTTTTTTTGGTATTATAAAGAGCCTCTCCTATCCTGATTTTACCAGCTAAACCCCTTCTTTGTGGGCACTGGGATCCCTTTCCTCAATAAACTCCCATCAAGATATTCAGGGGAGTTGTTAGACAGACAATCTGCGGTAAACTGCCAAAGACAACATTTCATCAAGCTTTCCCAATACTCTATCATCAGGCTAGTCACTCCACTAATAACAACTGTGCAGGTACAGTACAGCCAGGTTTTGTTCCACCTTGTCTTTTTCAATGACCTCAGCAGTAGAGTTTCCTAGCATTTCTCTGCTAGCAAGTAGCATCATGGTACTTGCATTCATCCTCAAGAATACTTTTCTATGTTTTTAAAGCCTAAAATTTGTCATTACACTACCTTTCCACTAGCTCCACTCTCTACCGCCCTAAAACTACTAGCCTTAGCCAACACCATGGTTTGTGTAGCTCTAGAAATTTAACAAAAGCTAATTATGGCCTGCATCAAGACAATGCCTTGGATATTATTTTTCCTCTGCCAATAACTACAGGTCACATACTCTTTCCATCTCTGCTTTTTGCTTCCTCCCCTCTCACCCAAATCCTAGCTACTTCCAAACTTAACAACCAACCATGCTGCTTTTCAATAAATCCTGTAATTTTTCCTGTTCTTTCTGATACTGAAAATTCATTTTGTTTCATGATGCAACATTTTCTAAGAAGCTCATGGCAATCTTTTATGCAACTGGAAGTAGATGACTTTCCTTTTTTTTAATCCCCAAAACAATGAAAACATCATTCTTGAAGTCATGTAACTAAAGTTAGCAACCTGAGATTATTTCTGCTCTATGCAGCCTTCTTCTAAGATAGAAAAGCTTTCCTTATGCCAGTCTTTCAGGGTTTTTATAGTCCAAGAATTAGACATTTTAGGTATCAACTGAAAAATTGGTTGCCTGTAGGCAAACTACAACCAAATCTTGTCAGGACACCACAAATCTCTTAAATCTGTGTTGTTAAACACAGCAAATAGTTTCCTGGGTTACAACATGAAAGGAACATCATGATAATCCTGGGTTTGTTGAGGGAGAGGGAGCCTGTTTGTGGGAGGTGTAACTACTCTTAAAACTGAAGCCATCCACCCCCCCCATACAGCTCATTTACAGGTCCTACCTGCTGTAACTACAGAGCTGGGGGCTCATAACAGTGAACCGCTGAAGACAGCATCTTTCACTCTCTGCTCTTAGGAGTATCCTGGAAGAATGCTTTGAATACATCCCCACCTTCCTCTGCATCTGCACTGAGCTCTTCCTTGTGGGTAGGGATTTGACATGCCCTGAAAACTATCTCCTCCAGCATCTCTAGACTCTAGTTCTCTAAGCTTCTTAGGTCACTTAGCAGCTTGCTTTTCACCTCCAGTGCATTTTCTTAATCTGTGTTTTGGTGCAGTCTGCAACTTGATAGCAACAAATGTATTTACCAGAAATACAGGGGCATGAGGTGTAAGGAGTAGCGAGGGAAGACAGGAAGGTTATTTTTTCTTTTCCCCTCTTGAATTGAAAACATTTATAAATGCTAAGAATGCCCTAAATTAAACTAAAGCTCGAATAAACACTTAGACTTGGATATGTTACCACACTGACTGAACGTCCCACAGATCAACACATTATAGCTCTTTGTTTCACTTTTTGTGCCAGAACCTTAGTACAACTGTAAGCAAAGTCTCCAGCATCAAGTACTATCCTACTAGCACAGCCCAATTTCCTTTTTTAAAAAAGGGAGAAGCAAGTCAGCTAGTATATGAACACGTGTCAAGGACAGAATCCAGTCCTTAAATAAACCTGGCAAATTATTTCCTATTCACTGTTATCTTTATTTGCTCTCTGACCACACAGGTTAGTTGTGAAGTTCTACAATTTTCCCTTTACATGGTAGATGAGGACACAATATTAAAGCTTACAATTACAGTTCTGTAAAATAACTTACTTGGACTGTGTCTGCTTTGTAATGTTTCTGATTGTTGCTCCTTCTTTCCCAATAATGGCTCCTACGAACTGCGTGGGAACCAGCATCCGTAGAGGAACGTCCGACTGTGGTTTCTGCCTTGTTGTTGCACCGGGTGACCCTTGCCTTGGAGGACCTCTCTGTCCAAATCCACGTCTTCCCTGGGGATGTTGTTGCGGAGGTTGCTGGGCTGCCATTTCATCAGGGATGTATGCAACTTTCAAGGAATAGTTTTCAAGCTGAAACCCATTCAGTTTCTCTATTGCTCTGTTTATTTGCAAAGGGGAGGAGAGAGGAGAAAAAACCCACAATCATACTCAGAGCCTTATGAAGTGACAAGTCATTCAGATATAAACTTCTGCTCTTTCTGGACCGCATGACAAGGCTAAAAACTGGTTCCAAGATAAAAAGTTACATCTAAAATTCTTCAGTCAAGATTTTGATTACACAACTTTTTAATTTTTTTAAGTTGCCATATTAAGGACTACAAGTTAGTTCTTGCTTGCTCTGGGCTTTCTGGTGCCACCCTATCAGCAAAACCTCACAGGAGACAGAGCTTATACACTCAAAAGCATTCTTTAGCCTGATTTAATTTAAATCAGTTTCTCAAAGAGAATTAAAGCTGGACAAAAGAGAAAACTTTTTAGCTGCTACCACAGCACCTTCATTAGCATTTTTGCCAGCACTGTTATTTGGTTAGAGTTTTTGCAATAACTGACATAGCTATGACAGGAAGAAAAAAAAAAAAAAAGTTATGAAAGACAGCTCCTGGTTCATTCTCACCAGGAAAAAAAGCATTCAAAGCCACTCAATGGCATGTGAAACACCATTTAACAGATCACAACAGCACCTTGCAACTTACCAACTAGTCATATTGTAAGCAGGTTTAAAAGTTAACCGGGGAATTGGCACTAGTCACTCGGGTCTCCCTCTGCCCAGCCCCACCTTCTAACCAAGATGGGGTCAAGTTTGCAAGTCAACCTGACCTGCTGGTTGTCTCCTCTTCTCAGACGAAGCACAACTCTAAACTTAAAAATTACAGATTTCTGCTGGAGGGTAGATCTTCCACTCAGAAACAGAATAGAGTCAGTACAATTAAAGATCTGTGAAACAGTATGAACAACAAAGCTACATGCAGCACGCTGGTAAGCTAGTGGTATAAAATTAATGTGTTTGCCCAAGACAGACATTTCGAGTTTCACTACAGAATTATTCAGACTATCAGCAATATGATATACTGATATCACCAAACCATGCATTGATATGGGGTAGTTTATAAAGGCCAGGCTTAATCTTGGACCAAAATTTACTAGGTGATTTTGTTTAAAGATAAAATTTAAATAAAAAACACTAGTGGGAGGGAAGAAGATTTCCATCTCATATTAAAGAACACTCCAACATTTTTTTAAAAAGCTCCAATAACCATATGCTCTGAAGCAAGGCCTCTGAAAACTAGACTTAATCCAGTCTTTCTGTTCAGGCACATTTGCAGGTGCTTACTGCCAGTTTACAAAACACTACCCTCAGTAACACTTTTACTCCTGCCTCTGCTGCAGAGAGAAAGGATGATGCCAGCCAACCACCTGAATTTTCAGAGGTAGCTGGTGAAAAGTGCTGTTCATCTGCTGAGTGTCCCATTTGACAGTCTGGGTCTCAAGCAGCTGATGAAGCCAAGCAGCAGCTTTGCAGGTGAGAAGTGGTACATGGGAATGGACAACAACACTCTCCTCATCTCCCAGGGGCTGAACCAGCATCCTCAAACTAGTCCAGGCAGACAGTAAAGAGCTTACGAGAAGACAAGTCTTTGGAGCAGTATTTAGTAAGGACTGGTAATAAATGAGGCCCAGAGCAACACCACTGAACAACAAGGAAAGCAAAATATTGAATAACTGATCACTGCTCATTAAATACTTCTGTTCACCAAATGAGACACATGTCCTTTGGGAACCAGGCAGGAGTGTAATTGCTCCCATAACAGAAAAATCTCTTAGAGTGTACAGCAAAAGAAAGCTGGATTAAAATTTGCTGAGTCTATTTCAAAGCTGACATTTCTTAACTTTTACTCCATGGACTTTGAAGAACATTTTATTACACAGAAAGTCACATTTACAAAACAATACAGGCAGTGAGCAGCAGGACTAGTGAAACTCACATTCCTATGGATTTTTGTCTCAAGTTTTAGTTTCTGCATAGATTTCCAGTACCTACAAGGCATTTCACTAAAGTCTCTCCCATGGAGATCCTACCCGGGAAAGGGGTCTGGAGCCTTTATTTTTATGCAACCTGAACATATCAAGTTCTTCCAAATATCCGAGACCTCTATTTGGGTTGAGTTTTACTGAAATTAGCCAAAAAGCTGGATTGCTACCAGAAAGGGAGACGGCACCACCAGACTGCAGTTGCACAAGGCCTGTTTCTTTTGGAATGAAACCTCAGGATGTTGGAGAGATGAGCACCAGCCATTTCACTAACATGCTGGTAGGCTCCAGATTGAGATACATCCCAACTCATTCCCTTCCGTGCGTTCATTTGACAAGTTCAGACATTACTTCTTTCCCAAATGTTTCCATCAGTCCTGGCTTTAAAACATCTTAGACCAGAACCCCAGCACTAATACAAAGCCTTACATTAAATCAGTGCATTAGACTCCTCCCTCTTCCATAGAAGTCAGAGGGGGAAAAGACTGGGCTTTTTGTTTGCAACCAAGCCACATACCTACTATGTTTTCACCACAAACATTATACAGCAACAACTGGTGTATATATATACATATGCCATACTTTTCCTGGAAAGAAGGTTGGAATAATCCTACTTAAGAACAGTTTATAAATTGCTAAGTGGTTCTGTACAACTATAAGTACCTTAAATTCAAAGCAAACTAAGAAAAGTTCATTTGCCATTGTGGAAAATCTATTATGCCAGCAGTGAACAATCCCTGGCTACCAAAGCCATGTGATGACATGGAAAAATAACACACTAGAATATATGGGATGGGTTGTTTTTGAGCAAATATTTGAAGGAAACCTTGCTTTAAAATTCACTCCTCTAATTAGATACTATAGCATCCATAACAATGTGTACTAGATTCTCTAGTATACTACACATGCTACAATAGTATCACTTCTTTAAATTAGTCCAGATATTTATAGAGAAAACTTTAAAATAACTAATTTACTACCTGGGTTGGAGAGTTCTCCCTATTTTATAGGCTGACTTGTTTTGTAATTTGACTTGTTCAAATGATAAGAAGACAGAAGAGTCTGTAATTAAAAGCTGCCCTCCCAAGCCATTTGTGGAACTGATGTTTCCCAAGTAGGTGGTCCCACGCTCTGCGCTGATTTGGGCACACACAGGGGAATGCCAAGATAACTAGTTGTCACTGGTGCAGCACATACACAGTTCTGGTGCATTTCTTACAGAAGATACAAGCACACAGCTTTTGAAAGATCAGTTTGGCTGTGGAGTCTGGCCTTCACATTCTAGTGTTTGACATTTTTCACTAGATTTTTAAACTATTGTCATACACCTTTGTTTAACTGTTCTGAACTCATTTCTCTCAGTTTTGTGGCACAAAACAAAGCTGCAATCAGACAAGGTGATGGCTCAGCAGTCCTTCAGCACCATAACAAGCACCAAATTTGAGGCATCTAGGGACTGCTCCAGGAGAGAGGAGCAGGGGCGGAAGAAGAGAGGAAAAAAAAAAAAAGAGAGAGAGAAAAAAAGAGGCAGAAACCAAGAAAATATATAAGTGATTAAAAACTGTCTTCTAGGTGGATGCAAAATGCCTGTAAAACAGCATCTAGGACAGCACTTGCCATCAGGAGAGTCATTCCCTCTCCCTGGGAAAGCCTGAGCCTCAGAGGAAAGCAAGTGACTGGTTCTTCACAGCACTAGTAGCACCCGTTTCAGTCAAGGCTATCATCTTTGTTGCAGTCCATCAAATACACGTTAAGTCCAGCTGATTTTATAAAGTACATACTGACCACCTCCAAAACTCAAGTCCAAACCACAGCATCACAACCTCTACCTTTCCACAAATCACTCTGCCTTCCCAAACAGGGCTGGGGGGTCTCCTTCCACAACCACAAGTTAACAAAGGCCCTGCAGGTTACCTCTGTCAGAGGGCGCTACTGGTACCTGCTGAAACAAACTACAAACCATCTTTTACACAAGGGCTAGAAACCCTAAAAGGCACTTAATAAGGTCAAAGATGGAGAAAAATTCGGTAAACTTCCTCATTAAGAGGTACCCTCCTCCCCCAAATCTTCTTTAAAAATTAATATTTAGTGGAAATGGAAAATGTTTGTTTTGTATACCAGCAAGAGCTGGTACACAGGAATCTTATAATGTAGTTCAGAATTTTTTTACAAAACAAATTCATTAAGAAACGGCAGTGACTACTACTTATGCTCTGCCAAGAGTATAGCACAGCTTAGCTTATGTTCACGTGATACCTGTTCAGAAGAGGATCCCTAAATAAAAATGAAATATTTAAACACATATTTTGTAAATTAGTCACCTGAGATTTTATCCATCAAAATGACATCTCACCATTGTCCTCTTGTGGACTCCCTGTGAGAGGATGTTTGCCCAGCCTTATCCCTTCTGATGCTAGTGGAGGTTAAACGTCCTAGATAAACGAATACAGTAAAAGACCAAGTCTTGTGCTGGAAATCATTCATCCACTGATAGCGTGATGACACTAAGCACTAGATGGAAAACATATTTCACTCCCACATGCAGCTTGTACGTACACCACCTTCCTTTCTTCCCCTCCCTGAACAGTCATATTTGCATATTGAGAAGACAGATATACATGGTAACTTTTCTTTAGCATAATGATTGTTTTTTGCCTTAAATAATACTTTAGTTTCCATTAGTATTTCTCAAAATAAAAACAAAGCAAAAAAAAAATCTAAGCTTATAATCACATACCACTGAATTTTCAGTATTATCGTTCCTATGGCAACATTAGCCCTGACCCACAAAGACATGTAAAAGTATTACTTATGTGAACTCTTACTTGTTTAAAGATACGTGTTGTGTGCACACACACAGCTTTGTGCTTCACTGAAAGGGTAAAAAAAAAAAAGTTTCTTTTTGCAAGTTTTCCAATTAAAAGGTGACCACTAGTGACTTAACACTCAGAGTAATATACCTACTTATGTCTACAAAGATGCAGATCCTGAGCTCCTCGCATTGCAGCCCATAGTCAAAATACACCATCCGTTATGAGACAACCACACATACCTCATTCCTGAGCTAAAAAATAAGCACCTAGCCCCCTACTAGAACAATATACACCCACTCCATATATATGAGGCCGTTTGCACAAAATATCCCTTCCAAAGCCCTGGGTAGAGCTGAATCCTGTAGCATGCACTAGACTCCTACACACTGGAACATTGTGGGGAGGGAAAGGAGGTGGTGTAACTTTTGAAAATAACAGCCATAATTTAGGTAGCAGCACGTGACAAGGACCTGGTCAGCATGTCCTCCTGGTTGCAGTCAGGGCTCAATATCAGGACAAGAGGGAGTGGCCTTTGGCAAAGCAGGTCCCAAGCTGTCTTGGGACCTACGTGCAGGTTGGGTTTTTCAAACTGAACTGTGGGTTGCAGGCTCTGCCTTGCACCTTCTCAACTCCTCTCTTCCAAGTATTCCATAACCCACTATGACATTTGGTAATGACGTGTGCCAAAGCAGTGTGCACATGCTTTGTAAAGCCCGCTGCAGTTTCTGAGAAGGACAGTAGCAGGGACAGTTTCTGAGTTGGAATAACTCCCTCCTCTTCCTCCCAGGCACATGCAGGAGAGGAGAGGCGAGGAGGGATGGGGTCACAGAGATGCCCTGGCAGTCCCAGACTTCTCCTCACTACCCACAGTCTCTGACAGCAGAGGGTGATTTCCCCAGGCTCATAAATGGCTCAGTGCCTGCTGTACATCTCTCTGCAAACCTACCAGGCTTCCCACAGGTAACCTGATCTGCCACACTGGCTACTCCCCTCTGGTCACATAAAGACAAAGATCTTGCTTTTGCTGCCAAGCCAGCCTCATGCCTGTCCAGCTAGGGAAGAGAAGCATTCCTACGATGGGTCAAAACCAACACACCTCCGTTTCAACTAGAAGTCAATAACTATGCACATCTCAAATTTTGGGCAATGTGTGTTCTGTTCAAGACTTGCTTCTTAAAAGGACTGCAGCATTCTTCACCGATTCCAGTTCCCAAGTTACTTTTGGATGCAGCCCTGTATTGAATATGACACAACTGCAGCGTCAGCCTAGAGAAAAAAAAGCCTCTGCCACAACAATTAGACTTGCAAGACAGAAGAAAGCAAGCTCAGTTTCCCAGCTGGATGGAACCAAAAAGTTTTGTTCAAAAGTAACATCCTCCAAGTAATGCATGCCACACTTGTTTAGAACTGCTTATCAAAAAATATCACAACACTTTCACCTGCATGACCGGTACACACTCCAAGAGGCACAGCAATGCCATAGAGTCTTATCCAGTAGGGAAGTAGCTAACTCTGCATGTTTTATCAGCCAGCACTTCTAACTGTGATGTTAGTACACATGCTGCAAAAAGTGCAGAAAAGACACGATTGGAACTGTGGACCCACTGTATGCAGCAGCACTGAAAACTTGACATCATGGTGCTTGCTCTAAAAGCCACAGCTAAAAGCATCATTTACCCCAAACAACTAAATTTCAAAATACAAAGCTTGTTATCAGCTGCTGATTCTCAATGACTCTAAAAAGCTTTTGATAAAGTCAGTTCTTGTTACTCCTTGTACTGCATGTGCTGACCAACACTGCTTTTTATCAGCTATCAGCACTCATATACCACTCCCCCTCCACAGCCATCGCTGTCCACTACAGCCAGTTCCAAGAAGTAAAGCTAGGTCACATCTGGGAAAACCATTCAGCTGAAACGCCACCACAGTCACTACAGAAAAGTCACACAAGCACAGGTCCTGTAGTGATTCTTGAGTGCAATTCCTCACAGTTTTTTCCTAGAAAAACCTCTGTCCAGCCACTTCTTTTCTTAGGGTTTTCTAAATGGTTGCAAGGTCGCATCCTGAACCCAGCCAACCTGAGCTAAAGTTTTCTGTACAGAAAATGGACTCATGCTCTTAGAAAACCCTGTATCTGTATAAAACCACTCACAAAAGCAAATCAAGGCTCCTCCACTTGCCCTACCTGTTCACGGCAACCAAACTCTATGTTACCATTCAACTTGTGTTGCTTCAGGTCCTACTCCAACATTCAACACGCTAACTCACCTGGTTCAAACTCAAGATGTTTCCAGTTATTGTTATGTGATTTCTCATGCAAAACAAAATTTTGTCTTGAACACTTCTTTTCTGTCTTGTTTTATCCCAGCATTTCATCAGAATTGACCTTAAAATTTAACTACAGTTGGAGCAGGGAGAGACTGTATGTTGTTGTTTTCAACTTCAGAAGGGAGTGCTCAGGTCCAGGAACCCACATCACAAATGACAGACAGCTCAAAAATATGCATCATGCTTCTTTCCATGGTATTTTAGGTACTTCCTCCTTACATTTTCAGAGGAGGAACTGGCACATAAAATTGGCACACAATTTTTAACAATTGCACCGTAGGTTTCTTCAGAACTCTAAAGTCATAATTTTTCTTAATTACTGCGCAACAGAACTAAAACCACCAGAAGAACCTGAAGAAGAATTTGTTGCATGATTCAGGTTTTGAGAGAAGTTAAATAATTAATTCAAGGAAAACATTGCTTCTTTCAGCTCCAATGTACGTAGGCGACACCACTGACACAAGGTTCCCATCACATTTGTTTAGAATACACTAACAAGTAACCTAACACTTTGAAATATTAAATACATGTGTTGCGTTCCAGTTACACAGAAGTCATAATTACTTAATTATATGTACAAATATTATTTCATTTGTAATTTTGAATTAATGCATACCATAAGCATACTCTGCATCTTAACTGCTGATTTTAGTTAGCCACAAGGTGGCAGAAATTTCAAAGTTAAAATAAAAAGATCATTGTAGGCTCTTCACTGAGTTTGGTTTTGTTTAACCTGCTACAGCTAGAAAGAGGGGGGAGAATAATTTTTAATCTGGTGACATAAACATAAGGACACAAGTCCTTTTTCTACCTGTGGTGGAAAAGCAAAATTAAACCTCTAGTATAATACATAATATGAATGTCTAAAGGAAAAAGATATACAACCATTGATTAAGAAAGTAAAGCATTATATTTTTAAATTTAATATCTAGATTAAAAGTTATCAATTACTGAAGATACAAGCAAGCATAAAGTACATGGTCTAAAGTTCAAAAAGCCCAAATAAATTATTTTAGGTATTCAAATTACGACCTTTTGTGTGTTTGGAAGCAGCATTAAATTTTCTAATTAAAAATAATTTCTTAAGGAAAAAATCAAAGCAAATTAACAGAAACAAATAGAAGAATGCAGCTGCTAACCAGAAGACAGACACAGAAAAAATCAACACTGTAAAAGGGCATCACAAAACTTTTTTAAACATGGCTAAAAATCATTAATAAATCCCATCCTCTGTCACTGGCAAATCATTAACTTTCTGCCCTCCCCAGTCAAATAATTTTACCCAAATTTTAAATTTTCAAAGTTATTAATTTATCTTAAATCAAAGTGCAGGAAAAGTTGACAACAAAAAAAATAGCAAATTCAGGTAAAGCACACAAGACATGGAAAGAGGAAGACTGACAGACTTCCTTAAAAATGATGCTTACATGATAATTTTATTGATTAATCAGAAGCAAAGTTGCATATAAAATCACAACCTGGATTCCAAAATACAAGTTAAATGACAGTAACAAGTAAATAAGATACTTACTGTCTAGCCTGGTCCTTATTGCCATATGTTACATTTACAACTGCAGTCTCCGTGTCAGTGTTCACTAGAGAGGAAAACGTAATGAAAAAAGGTTAAGTTCAGTGTGCACTCACTTCCCCACTATAAATTTAAAAGCAATTTGAGAGTAGAGTCATACCTTGCTCACAGTTCTCCACTGTTCCATACTGAGCTAACAAACTATCCAGCACCTATCAAGAGAGAAAAGAAATGACAGATCAACAAAAAAAAGTCTGTAAAAACACTAAAATTTGTAATAATTTTATTCAGAACATACAGCATTCAAGACATCTACTCCAATAAGTGGAAATGTTCATTATCTTGGGAAGAACAAGCACACATTGCTTGTTCTCTTTCTCACAAGAGAAAATCTGCATTTAAAACCTCATGAATGTGAAAACACAGAACATATCTCCAAGAAGTTGCACTGAACTGTAAGTCCCAGACTTTGAAAAGTCTCAGACTGGGCTATAAGCAGAGGTAGGAAAAATTAAAGAGCAGTAAGGCTGGAATAAAATCTTTCCACGTAACCCGAGCACATATAGAACTTTGCCATTGGTTTGGCTTGGTTTTCCCCTGCCTGATACACATAAGCAGCACATAAAAATATCTTATTCTCTTACTTAGTGGGGGCTTGTCTACATAGAGAAGTTAAGCAGAATAACCAACACACCAAGAGCTGTGCCACAATTATTTTGACAGTTTTCCCAAAAACCCATGCCAGAGGAGCCACTCACAACAGTATCTTCACACTTGTTTGAAAGTCACAATTAATTGAAGAAGGAGCAAAATAGAACGAGACTTTTAGGAAAACCAAGATGCCAGAATGTTCCAGTAAAAACACGAAAATGCCCACAGTTGTTGTATCGCTTCTGGAATATGGTATACAATTTATTTTCTTCCTGGTGAGAAATAATGTTCCAGAAAACAGTGACTGCAGCTGTAACTAACACAGAACACAAGTACATCATTGTGGTGTGTTGCATCCTAATGTTTTATCTCAAATATTAAAATAATGCTGGAAAAGTTCACAATTTACACCAGGAAGTAAAACAGTAAACTTGCAAAATCTCTGTGACCCAAGTGCCATTATACACTTCAATTAGTCTCTTAAGGCAAAATGTCAGAATGAAAGGGAGGAAACAAGGAAGCAAGGGCAGAAGGAAAGCAGTAGGCATAAAAACGCATCTGTCCAGCCTCTCATTCCACTTGCTATAACCAGCAACTGAGTGTGCACAAAACCCCAGTCCCTAAATATGTAAGCTTCAAAGTCTACATCCTCATGAGATTAAGGATTAAAAATTATAATTTATTAATGTACCATATACTTTTACTACAACATAAAAGACATTTTTTAGATAAATTGCAGTTTATATGCCCAAACTTAACAACTATTTACACCAGCATAATTTCTAATCTTTACCACCTATTAAAATTGAAATTGCACAAACACATTTCAAGGTAATATTTCAAACCAGGTATTTAAAAGGCAATGTACTGCTCACCAAGTTTGAACAATGCATTACTGCTTCCAACTGCAGAATTTCCCCTTGTATAGGGTCTAGTAAGTTTCCTTCTTGTATAGGGTCTAGTAAGTTTTCTTGGCAACAGTTTTGTTTTCATAGACAAGTTATTAATTGTCCTGTCCTCCTACAAGATTAACCTAGTTGAGAGTTTGCCTTTTCCTAAAAAATAATTTTCCTGCCACTCTTCAGATCTGACAATTTGAAACTATCTAAGGAAAAGTTTGCTCTGAAATTAGCTAAATAATAGCAAAGAAGAGATGCTCCAGAGGATTAAAATAAATTAAAAGTCTGTGGAAGATCCTTTTAAGACAATTGAAACGTTGGCACAGATGAGTGGGAGAGTTACGAGGTCTTGCAGATCTGTGGTCATACTTCCACTCAAGCCAGGAGAGTTACGGCATGCAATTAGAGGAAAGCCTTCTTCCATAGACAGCTTAAGTGGTAATTGTGCCTTCACTGAAATCAGTGGGTGAACAGAATCTCACGTGGGGTCAGGGTTTTAAAACAAGAAAAGCAAAAGCAAGTCCCTGGCTTAGAGACTCATTCTGAGATGTTTACTCAAAACAGGATGCTGGAGAGTTCATTAGTCTGATAAAGCAATTTCTTTGTCCCTACAGTATGTCAGTACCTGTGCCATATTACACAGCAGCCTGTACTACAATGTGAGATAACATCTTCAGTAAGTTGTGACAAATTTTGACTACATTTGAACTACGTAGACCACCAGCTCATGTCCACTCTGCCCCAAAGCTGCATCACTTCAAAAACATCACAGAATTTCATTTTCATCCTTAATCATACAGGAAAAGAGCAAAGCTGGAATGCCAGAGGTACCACAAGACTTTGCTGGATAAAAATTAACTAGTATTTTGTAAGCTATTTCCATATTAAATGTGTGTTTTGAGCTAAGGATATTTTTACATGAAGGCTCATATATCAAAGTCACCAGCTTCACCAAGAAAACAAATGCTTTAAGGTTGAATTCAGGCAACTTTTCAAATATACGACTTTCTCCCTAACAGCTACTACTTCCAGTGTGTTTCTGATCAGTCATCAAAAACTTCTCAACACACTAGCCTTGCATCTGCTCCAAGAAGCTTAAGGACCAAAAGGTTCCTTTGCCATTAGTGCTGAGGAACAAATAGCCCAGGACAGCGCATTCAGCATTCCACTCCTCTTCTCCACGAGTTCTCCACTTAGGCCACTTCTTAATCCTCTTCTGAGCCACCTCAGTCAGAGACAGTGTTCATCAGGGCTTTAATATAAGTGATTTGAGTTCCCGTGTTTTTAGAAGAGTTGCTTTACCAAACAAGTTTGTGTTAGGTTTCCTCAAAGGATTGGAGTTTTCTTCAACTGAAATGAGAAACAATCCTCTTGGGTCAAAAGCACTTGCTCTCTGCAGCACTGTCCTCAGTAGACACTTTTATTTCCGTCAGTCTCATGCAGCAAGGTTCTAAATGTGATCAGCACCACAGGGGTAGCCTTTTAAACCAGCTTGTATTTAAAATGCACTAGTAAAAAAGTATCAGCAGCAGTTGGGGTATATGTGTGCATGTGAAGAACACGCTTTTTAGGGGGTGAACACTTAATTGAACCAGCAGATCCAGTGGGGAGAAGTCATTGTGATTGTATTCAAAGCCAGATCCTCTGTCATAACTCACTTTCAAAACACACAGCTCCTGCATGTGTTTCTTGCTTCACATGCGTTTACTGCAACAGTCAGATTCTATTCACATCCTTCATTCGTTCATATTTCTTTTCACACTATCTTTTCCCTCTCCTCAAATTTTTTTCTCTCTAGCCCAAAGCCTCTAGTTCTGCTGCAAAACAAACATGTTTTGTTTAAGCTGCTCTTCCGTAACACTCTTCATGTACAGCCTTGTTGGGCAATCAGAACAAAATTCAAAGCCAAGTTGGTGGTGCAGCAGCAATTCTGATGAGCAGCTGAAAAGAAAAGTTTATTTGTACAAATATTTAATCTAAGCTAGAAAAAAAGTCTTTCCTTTTCTTGAGCTCTCCTTCTAGCAGTTGTCTAAATTGGGTCTCCTGCTCTTGTTATAGCACAGATGTCTCTCTCACAAAAAGCTGCAGTCTTATACTGTGGACTTTCATTCATCAGGCTCTAAAAGCCAATTCTGACTTCATTATAAACAGCATTACCCTACACCAAGCCCCACCAACTGAGGCTGCTTTACAAGGAAAAAAACCACAACTTTTCAGTAGAGCCCAGAGCTCAAAGCACACATTAAAATATCCCAGTTCACATGCAGATTTCACAGGTTTAGAAGTAGTACCTTTGAACAAGCCAGAGTAGTTGTTTTCTGCACTTTCAGAACAGACTATTTCATACACATCTTATGGTGCTGTAGGATTTCTACCCCATGCCATAAGCAAATTAGTCTCAAGACATCTGGTCCATAAGCACAGTTATCCATATTGTTTCTTACACATGCACTTAGTGATGAGAACTTCACAGTAATGCTGTAGAACCTGAAGTTATTTTCTCCACTTGTGTAGAGTGAATCCATTAGATCACCACCCTTGCCTCCATAACTCCTGGCATGATGACTGGGAGTTAAAATTAGACAACACAACTAAAAGCAAATAGTGGAGGTAGAAAAAGAGACAGAAGGATCAGGGTCATTCAGTAAAAGATTGCATGGAAATGTCTAGCTGCAAAGATTGAGTGTTCTGGGTGACTTAACAAAAAGGAAGAGGAGAGGAAAAAAAAAAGGAGTCAGGCAACAATGTTGAAGAAAGAAGATGTTGTTAATACAAGTGGCTTTTTGATTTAAAAGAAATGAGGTGGGGTGAAAAAAAAAACAAAAAACAAAAAACAACAAAACAAAACAAAGAGACAGGTAAGGAAAGGAAAGGGTTGGGGTCCTGAGCAATGATGATATCACTCCAGAGATCAAGCCCTGCTGAAAAAATGCCATCTGCACACTTCAAGTACTCTGTTAGTATATTTAAGTCCACAAAAAAAACCCAAACAAATTTTGATTAATTATATTAATGTAGCACAACTAGCCTGATGCAACTCCCAATCAGGCCCTGGTGTGCTAAAATTTGCAGCTCAACAAGCAGAGCTGGCATTTTGTGATTGCTACGTGTGAAGCAGGACTTCGGCAGAGCCACCACTGTTCTCACAGTCCCACCAGCTGTCGGAGACTGACAGTGGCAAAAAGGTTCTTCAAAGTGCCTTCAGTTTAGCTTAATCTTTTTGTTGGTAAAAAATGCATCCCCAATAAGGGACCTGGCTAGCATGGCTTTGCAAGGAAAATTAAATATGAAGAAGCCCCTAATAAATCCCTGAGGAAGCAGTCATTTTTGAAAGATGTAATTGGATAACACTGTCACCTGCACAGAGGCCATGGTGGATGGGTAAGCTTGATGCCAGGTCACCTGGCACTCCCATCCTAGGTAGCCTATCCAGACCACTGCTGGCAGCCAGAGCCCAGGCACAGCAACTTCACCCATTTTCACCAAAAAGAAGGTCAGAGCATGCTGGTCGCTTGTAAAGGCAGAGCAGCATGGACACAGAGTACCCAAACCAGCACATGGCCTGCCAGGACAAAGCTGTTCCTCCAAAACTTGATGAAGGCATTTGAATAGGCAACACTAGTTTGCAATGGCTCAATGCATTACAACATGTGGTG